TGAGGATTCACCCGTTGTAATATCTCGTAGTTGATGAAAACGTAACGATTTCATATATTTAAAAAAATGGTTTAAGGCCAGTGATTTTTCTTTTGAATTTGTTAAGAATTTTTCATAGTAATAGTTAACATAGTATTAGAGTTAGAAATCTCGCCATTTGTACACTTCAACTCTGCCTGTACGCGTTTTGCTCGTTGATGATTAGGTCGATAACTTTTTTCGAAAGCGGATCTTTCTTGCAATCGTCGAATTCCAAGTACTGTATGTTGCACGTGAACAAGATTGTGTTTTCCAGAGCGAAAGCCACCAGGTTGTGGTGTTCCCAAGGCACCAGGCGCACTTGAAATCCAAGCATAGTCAGCTTTTCTGTATGGAGAGAGAGAATCGCACGACCGTCATTGGAAATGTACTGATAACTATTGTGTTGCTAATAAAATGTATAAACGAGATAGCCACCGATGATGTAAGTGAGTCTCAGCGTCCGATGTCTGACTACACCGCAAACTTCGTATGCACCGTACAAGATATACACCTTAAGACTGGGTTTGCAACAAAGCTTCGGCGTGGTAGACATCTCGAGCAGCGTTGCTTAATCCAAAAGTCAAAACGGCAAACGAGTAAGTGCATAGAAGATTTTGTGTTGTTACTATTGCTACGAGTTACTGAGGCGATTAAAAAAAAACTACATTAACAGCTGTCACGGTTTGAACGGTTGGGGTAAAAACAACGAGCAGTGAATCCGATTCAGGCGAAGGGTTAAAAAAAACGGGAGTGCGTGTGTTTGTTTTTTTGAAAATTATTTTAAACAAACAGACAAAAACACGGTCGTTCGCGATAAACAAATATGTTGTTTTTTTTTATATAAAAATACAGCCAAAGGATTATATTGTAAATAAATACCATGCCACGTGTAAACGCGGCATTCCCTAGGGCATTTGACAAAACACATTCGTGTAATTCCAAATGAAATGGATGCAAAATTACAATTTGGAGTAAAAGCTATTTTTTATTAGGGTTTTACTTGTCGCTCGAAAAATGCAGAAAGGTTTCTTTGATAAAAAAATTGATAAAAAAAAAAAGTTAATATCAAAAACGTCTACTGTATAACGCGATGCATGTTACTTTGGTAAAAACTTTCATCTTAAAAACTGACTCACTTTTTACTTTGCTAAAAAGGAAACCAAATTCTATAACTGGAGGAGAATGGAAATAACTTTTTTTTTGTTTGTAAGAAACCGGGCTTCGAGTGAAAACAGTCTTTCATTTCGTTAAGGAAAAGAAAGGGTAATGGCCAATGAAAAAACTTTTAGCTCTTTTATAGGCGAAGGCTTTAACTTTTTAATTACTGTTTAATTTCAACTTTCCAAGCATGAACACGGAAAAGTAAAAATAAATGTTTCGTTTTATTTAGGTCCCAATGATATAATAAAAAAACACAAATTTTAATTTCTGATCTGCCCGAATCGCCTTGGGTTATTTGAAAATGTGTAACGGTATAATAAGAAAACCGCGTGCCTTCTGAGTACATTATACCGTATATCCCATTTTGTTCAGAATTCACATTAGGCGTATCTTTGCTTTTAGTGCTTATCCGCGTTATTCAGTTGTGTTTCGGGTAGAATGAGTTTTTTTTTTAATCTCCAAAGATGTATTCACCGGTAAATGTCCATAATAAATTCGTATGGAATTTGCAAATCAAAAACGGTTAAACGAACAAGAAACGGAACAAACGAGGGTTTATTTGTAACTTTTATACAAAGAATGAAATAAATTCAAAATAAACAACCGAATGATAAAAAAAAATGATAATGGCCAATTTCCATTTCATCGACAGCTGCTTTTGATCCGACCGGATTTTCGTATTTATTTATTCATTTAATTAAATTTTTTTACTAATAAATTGGAAAATGAAGCGACCCGTCATGCTGCGGCTCATGAAAATTATTTTTAAATAAATATAATAACACCGAAAGACTATTAATCACGGTTAGCGTTTCTGTAACGGACTTAACGAGCGGTTGATGTTTCATTATTATATTGTTATTATTATTAAACGTTGTTTCATAATTAAACGTCAATTATAATGATCGATCCGGATATAGGTGACGATCATTGTTTGTTTTAACCCATTGAAAAAGTGTAATACTATATTTATACACCATCGGCGGCGACAAAACGGAATTGAAAAGGACGGCTCAATTAAACGGTTATACCAGAATTCGTAATTTGTTTGGCGTTTATTGGACCATTCTGAGTAGACAGGAATATTCATTAAACACCCGGCACAAAGGGTCTTAACCGAATTTCTCGGAACCCAAGTGATTATATTATAAAGCTTTTACTTTCGGTAAAGCTTCAGCTGTTCAATCTGAATAAGGCCGACCCAATCTCGAAGGGCGAGATCTATCTATTTTCGATGGTCTTCAAAAGCTTTTACAAACGAGATTAATAATTAAATACTCACAATAATATTATTATAACAGCTGTTTTCGCGGCGGGTAAAGTATTTTAGGCCCTTTCGTTAAAATTGAAAACACAAACAAGGCATTGGCTATACTATATTAAAAAAAATCCCTATCAACGCAGTAAAAATATATTCCAAACATATTTTCATACATGTGATACATTTCATTAAAAAATATGATAATCATTATTTGGGTAATACCAATCCGCGAATAGACGGTAAATGAAGTATATTATAACATTTAATGATGGTAGGAATAAAACTGATCTATGAAAAATAAAAAAAGGAGGAAATGTTCTTTATCTAAATGAAAATAAATTTAAATAGCATTTTCATGGTTATAATAAATATTGTAATCTTATCAACATGAATATTACATGTTTTTGATTCTCATAAATTGACGAATTCAACGATCAGTATACAAACATTCAATTTTTTAAGCTACAAATTATAGGTAAAGACTTATATAAACTTAACCATGATTTTTTTTCATACATTACTAATGAAATTGCAAAAACATCTATTTGAAGTCTTACTATGTCATATTATTTAGAGGGATATCAAATATTAATAACACAAATTTCAACTAAATTATAAAAATTAAATATAAATATTTCTAAGTTAATGTGTGCGGGATGTTAAATCGTATCTCATTTGACTTAATTGTATCTTAGATTTTGTTGACATTATTTCTTTTATACTTTATAACCTTAAAAAAGATTCTTCTTATTTACTTGAAAAATGTTATCATAAACCGTTGATTGTTTTAAAAATGGATAACTGTTTTTTAATTTGCAAATAAACTACTAAGGAGTTAGTAACAAGTTGGAGTAAAAATGTTCAATATTTTAACTATATATCGTGTCTTAAACAAAAGCATTTTTTTCTTAAAAGCATTGGAGTAATTAGTTGAATATAACATTACTAGTCCTTCAAAGGAAATTATGAATATTCTTTGAATTCTTTGAAACTTAACAAAAAAAAGTTCCCTTGCCTGAATAAAAAAAAGCTAAAAAATTAAAAAAAATGTATTGTTGTACAAGAAAAAAACTCTTTTTATAGTAAAATTATGAACAAACAAGATAAGATGTTCTGCCCACGTTAAATCTAGTCTCCAAATATGTTGTAATATTAATCAACAACAAATTTCATACTTTGTTTATTTGTCAACTATTTTTTAATTATTTTCAAACTTTTAAACTAAAATCGACAAACGAAAGTAATTTATAAAAAAAAAAAAAGGAATTTTTTTTTTAAGAATGCATAATATTTGTCTTATTTCAGCGTCTATAACGCATGCATATATTTAAAAGTCAATGAAGTCTCTGTATAGGCTTTCTGATATTCTTACAGTCAGAATTTCCTAAAAGGGCTCTTCCAATCTGTCTACAAGGCTGGCGGCGACGTTGATAAACACAACACGTATCGGTCGTTAATCCGTTCAGTTAGTACAATACAGTTTGTTGTAAACTACCATCAAAAGGAATTTTGTTTAAGAATAAGGAGTCCCCGCGCAAAAGCCTTCATATTTTCCGAACTTTTCAGAGAGACCTTCATGTTGTTTTTGAAAAACTGATATTTTCCACACGTTTCAGAAAGTTCGTTCGGTAAGTGCCACGTTCGGTCGTCCGACGGTATACACTATCTGAAGCGCAGCAGTTTTCCAAAAACCAACACGGACGCTCCCGAAAAAGTTTTTCAAGCATTACACGTTATATAGCTACATATATAAAACACACTCTCAAGTATAAAGTTGCTTTGACGTCCAACTGAACTGATATTGATTGTACAACGATGCGTTTTTAATTAAATTTTCGTTACACTTTGATCCACAATAAGTTTTCAACAGACTTGTTTGTGCACAACTCCTATAGCTGCGCTATACTCAATACTTGTACCAGTTATATCAACCCCAAATTATAATGAACAATAATATTATGGGGGGTAGCTGAGGGTGTCCAAGCCCTCCCGAATTTTTTGTAGTCTGCCTATGGGGGCCTATAGGATAATAATTGTAGAAGTTTAAGATTGTCAAGTTTTTATTAGAAATTAGTGCCTCAGCCCCTCTTCCCCCCCAAAAAAAAATATCTAAGTACGCCACTGAAAAAAAACAAAGATTCTATAGTCTAAATTACTTTTGTTAGTGTTTTTTTTTGCATTATTACCTTTTATAAATATTGTTTCTACCATTCACAGATTTCGCCTTTTTCAATTATAATATCACCTCTACTGACTTCTTAGTATAAACATTGTCTAAACAGCTTATTTTGTTTTCATATGAAAAAATAATATTTCCCTAGAAAACGTCTTATAAACAATATTTTAAAACTTTGATTTAAGTATAATATTTAAACGACAGAAACAATTAAAACGCGCTTGGCCGCCTCGACTTGACTGTTTCGCACCACTTAAGTGTTTTTTTTTGTGTATTTTTATAAAAGAAAAACTTCATTGTTACGTTTGCCTCGTTTAATTATAAACGGAATTGTGTAGTGGAGTGTAAGTCAGGAGAGCACACTTAAAACGGAACGCTTACTTGAGTTTCATTTGTAACCAATTGGACGTGTGATTCGATGCGGGCAAAATCCCACACGGTAACTTCACATCCGAATGAGGCCATGTCAGTTCTTCTAGTGGGCTTAGTGTACTCAGACCTGAGTTGTCTCGCTGTTGGTGATGTCTCAATATGTGACCCACAGTAGTAACGTCTGTAAAAAATTTAATCAAATCTCAGTTCATTTTTAAACGAGGTAAAAAACATGCCGAACTTATTTTCAATTTTCATGTCTTAGACACACTAAAACGTACCTATTGAAAAAGTTGTTAAAACAAAATTGTATGCCATCATACAAATATATACATATACAAATAGCTTATGATCTTTTGAGTTTTAATTATCCACTTTAAATGCACTACAAATTAAAATGGGTAGCTTTTAATATAATAACAGATAAATCAAAGGTTTCGTTTTAAAATACCGTTTAATGTTTTCGGTTTTAAATTTGATCTATACTCAGAAAATTCAAAAATATCATTCTATTTGAAACAAAAACTTGTGATTGTGATTTTATTAGAAAGTATTCTTGTCAAAATTATTTTAGTTACCATATTATATTTTCTAAGTTCGATGCTTTCGACGAAACTCTAGAACTTATTTTGATTAGAAAATATTATATACTGTTTTCTCCAGAGTTCAGAGTGGGTTTAATGGTATATTAACACATCTGAGAAGTAAATGGTCTAAGTCGCGAATTTTTGTCAATATTTAACATGACACATTTAATATACATGTGTTGTATGGTGTAATGTCAGTTGGTACAAAAGTTTATTTCCTAACAAGTCATGAATATAATAATAATTTAAAATTCTCCATCCTAAGGATGAATTTTCACTCTTAAGGACAAATATCAATTCAAACATAAAAGCTGTCTCGTGTATCCAAATTACATTTTTACATAAAATAAGTAACTAATAGTTAGACGCCAATAGTTAGTAATTATCATTTAGGCCAGTTAAAATAGTTCCATGTGTATTACCAATCATACTTTTGCAATTTGAAATTAATTTTTTATTCGAGTAATAGTGTTTTAAAATCATTCAACAAAATTTTAAAGTTTTTTTACATTTAAATTAATTTATTATTCGGTTTGTTTTAGTGTTATGTTATTCGTTATTTAATTAGATGATGCCACACTCTGTTGCCATCAAAGCTACCTTTGTTGCCATTGAAGAAATTATGCTAAATCTTGGGGCACTAATAGCTGTTGTCCCTTCGGTCAAATTATACTATGCTAATTAGGCATAATTTGTTTAGCCATTTCAACGTCAATAGTGTATTATTGTTAGCACCGATACGCTCAACGGTTACATAGTGATAATCAAATACCCAGAACGCCTTTTCCACGGGGTAAATTGTTTTTTAAGGTAATTTATTCCATCATGGAATTTATTTTATTTACCTTACACAATTTAAATTTAAATAGTTTATAAAGTTTCCTAACGGACCATAGATCTACGCAAGTGAAAAATTAGCTAATATAAAACTATTTTTTTTGTTTCTTCTTATAATGTCATGCCTGAGGCTTTATGTTTTATAAGTTTTCTACGCCATGATAATACACTTCTGAGAATTCCGGTGTTTGAATCTTAGTTTTTATTAATTAAATTGTCAGCAAATATCAGTCAACTTGATGAGTTTCTATATATTACATAATGCTTAATAATAATCATATTTCCCTAACATCAACTGTTGCCCATCATACTTCTCAAGAACCAAAAGTTAAAACATTTTTTCGTTTAAAAGAACCGTTTATTTACACATTATGTTGGATTAGTTATTGTTTGATAGCGTGTTCGTGGTCAGGAATATGTCATGTAATATATCGATTTCACTACATTGGTTGAAAACTAAATAATATATCAATGACACACAATTATACTTGAATAAACATTTTAATATCATTGACATTGCACAGCATTAACATACTTTATTACAAATATTTCAATAAAATATACAAAGTAGATATATTATGAATTTAATAACTACATATGGATTTTTTTAAAACCGCAAAAAAATTATAGACAATACTTTCTACCAAATCTCTTTTAAAAATATTTTTTTGGTTTTAAATCTAGCCACTAATTTTATTTATTTTTCAAAGGTTTTTATTTGTTTGAGGCTTTGAAATAATGTATAACCTGTTATCAATTACCAATTAAACTTATAATATTTATGTAAATCGTTTGCAACATTGCTGTTATTAGTATTTGATTCAATATCAATGCATATACGCATATGACTGCTTCAGTGAATCCTCTAAAGTACATTTTTGGCTACAGTACTGCAACTTAGTAACCAATAGTCATTCAAACTTTCATTCAAAGGTTAAGTAAACTACCGAATATAAGGTTAAAATTGCATACTATTTTTTTATATTTATCTAGCAATAAAAACTATATTTTCGTCTCACGAAACACAACGTCGGAACAGTTTAGGTCAAGTATATATTAATGATTTCGGGAAGTTAACAAAACCGAAACAATACAATTGTAACCTTTAGTAGTAGTAGACAATAGTAGTATAATATTATAACATACAACATATATATATATATATATATATATATATATATATATAGTCGTCCCTTTTAGAATAATTTAACCTAAAATATTAACAGAAAATATAGGTATTATAATTCTTGTTATTGCACAAAAATATTTTCATGTGCCAATTATGTAATTTTTTAAACTCCAAGTTGGTAGCCATAATAAAAACTTGTCTATTTTACTTCCGATTGTTTCTGAATGTCCACTCATAGATGTCTCATTTCAGGAATTCTAGAGAACTAAAAAAAACTCACCTGAAGATAATCTTACTCATGAAAAAAAATTGAAATTGTGTATTTTACCTTGTTTAAATTAGTAAAATAATTGTATCTCTAAATTAATATTATCTTTACACAAATAAACGCATAAACATCGAAGACAAAAAAAAAATTACTAAAAAGGAATTCCATATAAGGCTTAGTGTAGGAGTTTATTCTGAGGGAATTTCGGAAATGACGGTGTCGTGAGAAATTATATACATGCATAATATGCTAAACACCTTGTCCGCTTTTATTGTGAGACTTCCTCGAATGAAGGAGCAATTGTGAGAAAAACAAATGTGTCAGTAGTAGTTGTGTTGCACAAAGTTCCAACTGCTTTAGCAATTATCACAGCAACAGAAGATGCTGAATATTATGTATATTATATCAAAAAGAGAAACAGGTGCGACGGAGAGCTGAGAACCCAAGGGGTGTAAAGACGGAAAGAGAAACAGAGAAAGACTGAGAAGACAACTGCAGAAACAACGTCGACGAAACTAATAATGAACTCGGATATTGTTTGCATGAATACATTATAATATCGCGTTCGGTATATTATTAATATTTAATCATATTTAATTATTTATGTACTCAGTACCGCTATTAGAGAGAGGCCCGACAGCTAAATAAAATGAAACGTTATATAATAATATAATACAATACAAAACAAATGGGACTTCTGTCTTTTTCATTAAATTATACTTTAGCGTTTGAAAATCACTACAGCAAACTTTCGACAATATACAAATGTATTATTAACACAATCATCATAATATTAAAACTTTGTTACACGCGAATTGCCACCAACACAAAAAATAATTTTGGAAAAAACTAAAAACGCGCCGAACAAAGTGCAAACCCAACGTTTTTGCATTTATAGGAACAAAAATCGTTTTGAACATAATAGATTATAACAATACAAAGTCAACCAGTACCATATAATTAATTAGATTCGTAATATTGTGTGAATTAAATGTATGTGCTTTTAGCCCGATTAACTAAAATAATATTAATAACAAAAACTTTACAGGTACAACTGAACAGGACTATTATTACTATTATTAAGATGGTGAAAAATTCTAGTGCTTATCACTTAGGTCTTGGAGGCAAAGGGAATCTGTATAAACATGTGAATTCTAAAAGAGAATATTAGCAACCGTGCTTTGAGTTTATGCAACTATTTTTTGATATAACTAATAGACGAGTAAAGTTTTTGCTTGCAAAATAATCCATACAATTTTTTAGGTGGAATACAATACTACTGTAGTCTGTATAGTTGCGCTGTTATTATATACAAAATAATAATGAATACAATACCCCGTCGAGCTTAACATTTTTAAAGGTAATAACTTAATATATTAGCCACATCAAAGCCAACTCTAAATAATGTAAAATATTATGTATGGATATATTGAGGAGCCGCTCCCATGTTATAAAAGCTTTTACTCAGACGGGTGACCACCGCACACCTTTCACAACACGGTTAATTATGAGCAAATAATTAATCTTGAAAATATAGTAATAGTGTAAATATTCGTGGTACAAAAAAAAAAAAACAAAATAGTTGAACAATGAAATATCTTTTCCGTTTCCACCTCGTACGGCAGTTCCGGTTTATTATTCAAAAAGAGAGTTTCATTCAAAATTTAAAAAAAAAGGGTTTACATGTTATTCAGCGTTCGCGTTACACAGGTTTTTTTTGTAGATAGCTTGTATAATAATATTATTTACAGTGAACCTCTTCTATAAATAATATATATTATGTACTAATTATTATCGGTAGGTATCCGTTTTTAGACGGGAATCAGATATTTTTGAAAATAAAAATTCGAGACGAGTTTTCATTAAAACTTAAAAGATTAATGAGAGAACGAATTAATTATTTAAAAGATCTGTAAAGTTGCTGGCAAGCAATCTGGTTTCTGAGAGCAAAATAAAAAAAAATTAGAGTTAAACGAACCGAGGTCAGGCCGCACGACTGAGCTAAGTTATTGCTATTCGCGTGTACAGTCACTTCGAGTTAAGTACACCGTCCAAAAAGCCGTCCCAGTTGAAGTACCTTTACTCCTCTAGTATTTCCTTTGTTCACGACTAAGAAACACTCTTCTTTATCTGCACTGTTTTATTACTATATAACATACTTATGTGTCACATATATAACAACATTTGAGCCACAGTTGCATGTATATAGATAATAAACTAGCTTGGGAACTGTCAAAATTTGGCCGGCAAACCAAGCGTAACCGCTGTAGCCGCCATAGTTGTGGGATTTATATAAGCGTTTGAACTTTGAAATCTTATCCGAAGTTTGTTGAAAAGTAAAAACTAGTTTCGCTATCGAC